GGAAAATCACCATCTGAAATAGAATCACTGCTCAACACTGTTCATATATATAGCCAAGATATTGCAATGAATTTGGATTGGATAAATGTGCCACACTCACTATCAAACAAGGAAAAATAGTGAAAATTGAAGGAATCAAGATGCGCCATGATGCAAGGAATGCTTGCTGACTACTGGAGAGACCCAGCTGGCCTACAAGAAAGTCCAAATGAAGAATAGAATGGAGGCATGGGAAGACAAAACACTACATGGCCAGTACATTAAAAAAAATAGTAGGCAAAGTAGATAATAACAAAACCTGTCAATGGCTAAGAGCAGGAAAGTTAAAGATAGAGACTGAGGGATTAATTCTGGCTGCATAAGACCAAGCCTTATGAACAAATGTCTACAAAGAATTGAGAAGACAGCAACAAACAGGAAGTGCCACCTATGCAAAGAAGCTGAAGAAACAGTGGACCACCTGGTAAGCTGCTTCAAGAAGATTGCATAAACTGACTACAGTGGCATGGCAAAGTGGCAACAATGGTCATAGAAAATGAAGAAGTTAAATTGCTCTGGGACTTCAGAATCCAGACAGACAGGCACCTATAACATAACACCCCAGTTGTCAATAAGAAAGACAAAAAAGTCTAGCTAGTGGATGTGGCAGTGCCGGGAGACAGCAGAACAGAAGAGAAAGAACTGGAAAAGATAACAAAACACAAAGACCTAAAAATAGAAATAGAACGACTATGGCAAAGTCAAACAAGGGTACTAAGAGTACCAATAGTAATAGATGCCTTGGGTGCAATCCCAAAACAACTGGAGCAGCACTTGAACACCATAGGCATTGACAAATTTGCCATCTGTCAATTGCAGAAGGCGGTTTTACTCAGAATTGCTTCCATTCTACAATATCTGTTACACCATCAAACATCCAGATTTGCCTATCCCAGGTCCTTGGTAAGGACTCAATAGGTAGACAAAAATGCCAAACCCAGACTGAATATCTGGCTGACTGTGCAATGTTTAACAACAACAACAACAACGCTTTATTACAGTCATAGACCAGCAGTAGACAAGAATCATCACTGTTTACAATAGTGTTAACAAGTAGTACTAATAATAATAGTGGATAGTAACATCCATGATAATACAATACATCGGCTCAAACAGTTTGGATCATGCTCTTGTTTACATGATTGAAGAGCAGATAAGTATATGTGTAAATATATTTTCTCTAAAAATTGTAAGAGATAGCTACAAAAAATAGGAGCAAGTAGACAACTTTGATTCTGCAACCAAATTTTTCCTTGTGGTCATTGCAGCAGCACAGAATTTGCCACTGCATGTGTAGTAGCTGGGTTTGAGTCCCGGAGGAGATGGCCTACATAAAAATTGTCTACCCTCCCTGATAATCTCTCTAATAAGGGGAGAATATTCATTGACCTATAAACTCTGCATAGTTCACAGTACAATAAAACATCTGATATCTTCGATTTCTCCTTTACCACATATACATACTCATTCCATTATTGGGATCTTCTTATACCTGCCCTGGAAGAGTGCTGAGGGGAGGATGTTAAATCTGCTTCTGAAGAACGCTATTCTATGTTTTGGGAAGATCAGGTCCTTAAAATATCTTGCTGGTTCCCATAAACCTATTTAATTCTGTTCCTACTCTGGAGAGGCATCCTATTTAGTTTTAAGTGGAAATCTTTGTCTTTTATTCTATTAATAACTACTTGCTTAGCTGAGTCAAAGCCTAGGGATATTAAGAATATCAGGGAGAGCCCATAAGAGCCCAGCTTGTGGTCTATCGCCTCTTTCCAGGGGGAGGGGAAATTATCAGTCAACAATAACGGGGTTAGTCCCTCTGGAACGAAATGCATTTTTAGCCAATAGATAATCATCAGTTTCAAGGCTCTTATCTGAATTTGAGGCATACCTGTTTCAATCCTTAACTGGTCGTTTACTGTTCCTTTGGGAGAAGCTGAAATGGCTTGCAGGAATTTTGTTTGTATGATTTCTAGTGGGGCTTTGTGAAGATTCCTGTGCCCCATATAGAATTGTTTTGGCCTCAAAAAGCTTTAAGGCAGCAGGTACTAATTGATCTCCGCCTGTGTAGAATAAATGTTTAATGGCATTTGAGGACCTATGGGCTGATTGCAATGTATAATCCAGATGAGCCTTCCATGTACCTTGTGAGTGGAAAACTGAGCTGCCGCTGCCACCACCGAACATTGAACCCTTCGCTGCCGAGTAGCTGATAGGCGGTTGGATCGGCCTCCTGGAATACTGCCAATCACCTGTTCCAGGCAGTGGAGATTGCCACTACCGATTGCTGTTCCAGCGGCAATAGGCGATCCCTGCCACTTAGAACAGCTGATCGGAGGTATTCTAGGAGGCTGATCCAACCGCCAATCAGCTGCTCGGCAGCGAAGGCTCAAGTACTCCCCGGCGACAGCAAACAGCGGCAGCATTTGCAAACCCCCCTCCCCCATCGCAATATTCACTCTATAAGACGCACAGACACTTCCACCCACTTTTTGGGAGGAAAAAAAAGTGTGTCTTGTAGTGTTTTTAAAAATGTTCTTTTAAAAGGGTCTTATATTGTGCCTTCAACTGCTTTAAATAATGAGTATGATCCTCAGAAGGGGCGTTTTTACCTTTTCTGTGCTTCTTATATGTCCTTTACAGTTGCACACAATCTTTATCAAACCATTTTTATGCTTTAAAGCTGACTTTTTGGAGTGTGCCAGTGTTCTGTTAGTCAGAACTGATTTCAAATTTGTAATTAAGGTTTCAAACCCTTCTAAGTATGATCTTTCAAACTTACTTCTTAGGAGATATATGTACGTAGTTCTTTGGTTTCTGGAGCTAACATCCATTTAGTAACTTCCTTTGTATTTTTTTCCTTCTATTTAATTTTTACTTGAATATTTTGGCTCTCTAACCTGGATAGGTAGATTGAGCCAGCCTTAAAAATTTCTGGTGTAATGTAAGAGTAGGGGTTTCTGGATCGTGATCGCTTTGCAATCGCGAATCTACTTCCATCTTCTGTAGAGCTTCAAGAGGTCACATGGTATTATCATGTATATTCTGCTGAGTAATCTCCATGTGTGGAACCATTAAGAATACATAGGTCCAAATGTCCAATCATCTGTCTTACACACAAACCTGCCTGATTTGCTTTGGGGTCTTTAAATTTTCTGGAATGCAGGGGTTTTCCTGGTGCATTCTCATCGTAATGGATCTTAAATTGACTACTGCTTGATTGTTTGAGCCCATCCTAGTGTTTAAGCCCCTCCCCCCCGCCCACTATAATTATTACTGCTGTGGGGTATTTGTCTGAGCAGCCAAGGATAAAATCTTCTATGCAGTCCCAAATGGTGTTGATAAAATTATTCTTATTAAAGGGAGGAATATAGATAAAGCAAAATCTCCACCTGTTTAGATAAGAGAATGGTAGACACAACCCAGGGCTATAAAGGTAGCAGTAATACACATTTAAATTGCAGGAATGTATTAGTGTCACAATACCTCCTTTGGCTCTCCCACCCACCTTACTTGGGACAGCCAGGATAGAGTTAGCCCAATAACCATCTAACTGTATCCTTGCGGAGGTCCAGGTTTCCTGTAAGAAGAGGATGTCAAATTGTGATATATAGTCAAAAAAGAGTTGGTCTTTTGATGGGACAGTCCAACCTGCTATATTCCAAGTTGTAAGGGAAAGATAGTCATCATTTGCAGCTCATTAGGAAATATGATTTAAAGTTGTTACATTGGATTGAGGTGTCGTCACAAATGAAATTAGCCTTCTCTAAAAGGAGGGTTTTTTTTCTCATCCAAGTCCTGTGTTCTCCTAAGGAACTTGTTCAGAGTAAGAGGCTTTAACACCAGCTAACGGAGCTTGCCTTTCAGGTGCCTCTTGAGATGTAAAGTAAGGAGTTATTAAGTCATGCTGCATTTGACTTTGAAATGGTGGCACCGATGTGGGTCCTCTCTCAATCTCTTGGTTTGATGCTGAAGGTATCATAGGATATTCATAGAAGGAAGATAGTATCTCCATCTCTACCGTGGCCTCTATTGGCCCCTGTGGATCTTGGCTTCTATTTTCTATGATCTCATATTGATGCAATCTCTTGCCCTCTGGGGGGGGAAGTAAGAGGCTCAATTATTGGGGAGACCAGATCTATAAGTGGCTCAGCTGTATCGATTGTGACCAACAGGGATTTATTTAAATTTTCTAACCTGAATAGTATGTTGTTCTTTCCTTGGTAGAGACCTAAAAACATTAATAAGGCCAGTTTCTATGTTGTTAAATACATCTTCACCGAATAAGGCTGACTCACCCTTTCTTTCTCTCATTTTCTCAAGGTTGAAAATGAGGAAAAGACAGCAACCTTGGGAGCTCGCATATTAACAATTAAGGGTTTAACCGTTTCCTCACAGAAATCTCTGATGGGAAAGATTTGAAAGGAGGCTGTACCTTCATCTTAAATAGCATCAAAGGCATGGTGGGCTGCTTGAAAGACAAGAGTATCCACTTCCAATTTGGGGCCATTGGCAGTGAAGAAGCTGGGTTAGGGAACTTAGTATTGCACTCTTGGTATTCCAGTGTCCATAATTAAGTCTGTTCATATGGATTCTAAGAGCAATCTGTTGTTTTTGCAGTGAACTATGTAAATGATGTAAAGGGGGGGGGGAGATGCTTTACCAGCTTCCAAGGAAACTTCTCTATTAATACATTCCCCTCTCACTGCCTTGTCAGGAGAAAACCATTTTTTTCTGAGAAGGCTGCCGCTTTTTAACTTTTTCCTTGGCTCTTTAAGGCTCCTTGTCCACAGACCTATTCAGAGTGTGGGATTTAACCAGGCCTGCTGCAAGGTCTTTAGTGGGGGTACATGGACCCAAATTTTGTACTTGGAGAAAAACAGCTATATCTTTTTTCAACAAATCATGTTGTATGGCTATTAGTTGCTCAAATATTGAAACAACAGTTGCGCTGTGAGAAAGTATTGCTTAACCATAAACTCAGTTGTATTTTCCCATGGTATTCTCTCCATACTGATTTAGCTTGTTGTTCTTAGTCTTTTTAGCCTTTATGTCAGGTTACATATAGGATGTAACTGGACGAGTTGTTTGTGAGACTGGCTGTCTGTCAGTTTGCTCTCTGCACCCCCCAAGTTCGGGAAAGTCTAATAGCTGTTGTTTTGCCAATTCTCTTTGAAATTTCAAATTTGTTGGAGATGGAGGGAGGGTTAGTTTTACTTAGTTCTCTTTCCAGCAAAGTGCTCCTCAATTCTTGGTTGTTTTGCAGTTTTCACAGGTGGGAGAGATCCTGGGAAGTACTATGACATTTCTTTCTTTTTCTTACGTCTTATCAATTCAAGGCAAAAACAAATTATCTGTGTTGTGGTCTTTGTTGTTATCTCATCCAAAGAATATTAGTTAAATAAAAATGGATCCAGTGGGAATACTAAAAATTGATAAAATAAAATAAAACTGAGAGGAGCTACTGCAAACATGTTCCAGCAGTTAACCTCTTGGCTTCTCGAGCTCAAGTAACTTTTAGACAGAATCAGTAAAATATAATTGGAGCATGACTTTGGTTCAAAGTACTTCTGTTTTTCTTGAGAGCACATATTTGCCACAATAGTGAGAAAAAAAACAACAGAATTGCTGATAAAATCGGCCAACATATGAAGAAGTACTCCTTGACTTGTATTTCTTGCCATGGTAAGGCTAGTTACATAAGTATGTCTGTGTGCCAACTATGACCCTTTTAAACCAGTCAGACTCAGCAATGATAATCCACAACTTGATCAAATCCTTATAGTAACACAACATTCCTGAAATCACTATGGCTTCTGTTTCTTGAGATCTCATATCAAGAAGGGCTGATATTAATCTTGAAAACATGGCCAAGTTTCTCTCTGTCCCATCTTATATTAATCAAAATCAAAGCAGAGGTTTTTTGAGTTTCTCATGCTTCCTGCTATTTCTAAATTATGTAATGTTTTTCACAAGCTCTTAACAGCATTCTTCTTCCTTTCTTCCTTCCTTTCTCCAGCTTAGTTCTATGCTATGCATCTCTCAAGCAATGAAATAAGCTCCCTAAGGCAGAGTACTTGGCTCCTACTCTCATAGCATTTGGGAATATAGGAAAAGTTGACAAAAGTTTCACCAAACTTTTGTCAGTTTCATGATTGAATTTTACTTTATTTAACTCCATCAATTTTATTATGTTTTCTACTTTACTTTTCATAGTTGTAAGCTTCTTCAATGTTGTGATAAATAAACGTAAATTTAATAATGAACAAAAATGTCTTGAAAATATTTGTTTCAACTGACAATCTAGTAAGGCTTTATAATAGGAATATTATAGAGTAGAAACCTACTCTCACTATAAAGATTAAAAAGAAGCATGCAGTTATTTTCACATGACCTTTAAAATGATATGTGTAACTTTTGTTGCAGACTGAGGTTTTTCATTTCTTTTTTAGTATCACTTTACAAATTAAATTTGTCATCAAATTGGAGGGGCTCAAAAGGCTAGTCCTCCTTTAGCAATTTCCTTGTTTAGTGGCTATTCAACATTATGACAATAATGAAAAAAGCATTTTTATGACCAATCCTTGTATTTACAACTTTTGGGAGTCTGTAAAGCAAAAGTGAAGTAACAATGTCTTGTAGATAAACCACTGTTTGAAAAACAAAACCTCTGTGTACTGTATTTTGCTCCTGGATTGTCTCAAAATAGTAGTCACACTGTGCACACTCTGACACTTTGCTTAACCACCAATTTGCCAATCCTAATTATGGTGCTAAACAACTATCTGTACTGGAGACAAAATATTTCTGAATGACATTTTCAGTATTCAGAAATGAAAGTTATTTTCCTACCCCTTCTTATAATTCTCATATCACTTAAACAAAATTCAAATAAAGGAACAAAATTCTTTCTCAGCTCCCATTCTAGCCACAAGCTATTATTAACAAGCAATGATCAAGCTATAAAACTAGAATTTAGAAAAATAAAAATCAACATAAACAGCATAATTTACTTCTACTAAAAGTCATTCTACTTCCATTGTCAAAAAAGACATTTTAAAAAATCTACTTACTTCTGTGCTTCTTTCAACTATGCTTTAATCCCAATCCAACTAGTTCCTGCATATTAAAAAAAACATGTTAGAAAAAAGACCAATAATTAAAACTTCCAAATGAATAATCAAATAAACTTTACTGGGATAAACACAAAGATGCAAGGGACCTTGTGCTGCACCCAAATCAGCCATACTTTTCAGTCAAGAGTTCAATATCTTTTTCAACTGATTCGTGAAGCAGAATACTCCATAGCTTTCTATTCCACCCATTCATTTCCCATTCAAACAACTATAGTGTATAAACACAGCTTCTTAGCATGTTTAAAAAGTGGATTATTTTGCTCAAAACTTATCCACCTCCCTACAGTAATTCAAATTCTGATGCAATCTATTCATACAATCCAAAAACGCTTTTGTAGCTTGTGACTTCCTGCCAGCTTCCTCCTTGACTTTGCTTGTTGGAAGCCAGCTGTGAAGGTTGCAAATGGTGATTGTGAGACATTGTGATCATTGTAAATGTATGCTGGTCTTGAGGCAACCAAATCACATGACCAGGAGGATGTTGCAGTTTCAAGGACCAATCATAAATCTCCTTTTTAGTGCTACTGTAACTTCCAGGTAAGTGAAGATACTTGTAATAAAGACAAGCTTTGTATCACTTCAGTGATGACTGGCTGTGCTATGAAAAGTGTAAACAGTCACCATGGAAATGCTGCCCTCATTCAAATACACAGAAAACAGTGAACTGTAGATACTTACAGTACATCTAAATTTGTTTCTGCATCTGATTTTACCTTTGATTCTTGATATATGTAGCTTCTTCAGTAGTATAGGACCAGGAAAATGGTGAGAAGTAAAGAATTAGAATTTGTACTCCTCTTTTCATTTTCCCATAATAATTTAATTCTTAAATCAAAATACTGAAATTAAAAATACTGTTTTAAAAGAGTCTTGCAACAACAATGAAAAATAGTAAAAGATATATTGTAATGCAGTGGTTAAAAGTGTTGGACTTGGGAGATCCATTCAAGTCCATCTTTAACTATGACAGCTCCCTGGATGACTTTGGGACAGACATAATCTCACAGCCAATGTACTCAGAGTACTCAGAAGTTAAGGGAGCACAGAATTTATGTCTATTACTTTAGCTTCTGAAAAAGAATTACGGATAGAAATCTAATAATGTAACTAAAATGTAATTTTTAAAAAAGGTTTTACCTGCTTGACAGCTTGTGGTAGGATATGAAAATATCAGTTAGGAGCAATCTATTTACTGGCTGTTGGAATTAAGACACCGTTCTTTGACAAAAAAAAAAAATCCAAAACTGAGCACACCATTGCTTAGTCAGCGAGACTCATGAATTACCTTTAACCACTTTTAGAGGGAAGCTCATTATTTGCAGTACCATACTAAATTATCTCATTAGCGAAGAAAATATATACAGTACTACGGGTGAAAAGAACCGCCCATTTTACACAAGCGGCAGGAACTTACATTACAGGGAAGTAGCCTACACGCTTGATTCTCAACAAGGAAAGTTGCGCGAAGCAGCTTCCTTGAAGTCACAGCCAAAGCCTGATGAAGGGCAAAAGGGGGCAGAGCTCCAAATCCTAAACGGAGCTCCACGGGAAAGCCAATCCGACTGAACGAGCCGACATCCCTTTCAAACGGACGAGCCTAGGCCAACCTCTTCCGGACCAACACGGCTCTTACCCCTCTACTCTACTCCACCGGACGCGCTAATGAAGCAGGAGGAAGCCCATGCATGAGCGGGAAAAGGAGTCTCCGGAGGTCGCGCTGAGCGGAAGTCACAGCCCGTCGCTCGGGACAGGAAAGCAGAGATAAGACTTCCACGAAGGCCGCTCACTCTCCGCGTACGCTCAGGCCCAATCAAGTCACCCGCCGCAAATCAAAGCGTCGGCTGCACAGCGGCGTCACCCGGAGCTTCCGACGCGCCGGTTACGTCACCGTTAAAGCGACAGCACCTCCTTTCCTTTTTTCCTCCCGAGTCCCGCCCCCAGTTAGATGCACAAGCGCCGCCGGGCAAGCGGAGGTCGCCTTTGCTGGCGCCGCTGTCACAGTGGATAGAGCAGGACGGCTAAGCCTCGCCAATGCAAAGTTCCCTCCCAATGGCGTGTAAATGAGGAGGGGGCTCTGCTTCCTCCATCTGCGCGTTCCCGAAAGCGCCCCGCCCCCCCGTGCGCGCGTCATCAGCAGAGCGTCCAGCGGAAGCTGCTCCGAGGCGGCTGTTTTGGTGGAGACGCGGCGGAAGAAACAGAGAGCGATGGTCCTCTTCGGCCCCGACTGAGTGATGTGAAGGACTCGGGCACGGTCAGTGCCTCCGTTGCTTTTCATCCTTGTCACACGGCCTCATCCCACCGGGAAATAAGTGGCCGGATTCCTTTAGGCCAGCTTCTGGGCCAACGAGCGCCTCCACTTTTGTGAAGGACCATCATGCGTTGCCTCTAGTTGCTGTTTAACGGCGATCTGTATTCTTTTCATTATTGATTAGCAGAAATGAGGTATCTCAAAAGAATTAAGGATGATTCAAAGTCTGCAGGTCTATGCATTCATTTCTCCATCTACTTTTCTCTCTAACTATAGTGGGGAAGGAGGTTGTCAGATGGCACAAGTTTTTTTTTTGTCCTCTCTGTTTCCCTTCAAAATAATAGATAAGTTGTTGGAACATTTAAAATCCTTTGGTAAGTAGTATTGGATTTGGGTATGTGTACCTTTCCTAACAGTATTATTTTCCAAAAGAACTAGGAAGAAAGGGAGGATGGCATGGGGGCACCTGCAGGATAAAAGTGTGACAATGCAGTTTCTTCCTCTTTCATGCAAGGGTGAGATGTTGCAGCGCATGTACAAAAGGGCTGGGGCAATGATGGGATTCAGCCCGTTCGCACTGGTTTGGTAGAACTGATAGCTAATTTTTTGTTGAGTTTGGCAAATAAGTTAGACATGTTCTGGAAAATCTGTGTTTTCTGGAACATGTTTTTGTTTAACTTCTTTCCAGGTGGGGAAGGGAAAAAAAACCCTCCCCAAAGGTCCAAGAAAGGAGCTTCAATCACGTCATTAGGGTGAAAACTTTTACTTTACAGCAGGTGGTGGGGACAGGGTGGGACCTGCGCATAAGGGCCAAAGTGTCAGCAGGGAGGGTACTGAAATGAGCAGTCATCCTGCCTGCAGCACCCATGCCAGCTGCCCCTCCCCGGTCAGAGGTGGAATGCCACCGCGTTTAACTTCCCTCCGGTGGGCCTGGGCAACTACTGGAAAGAGACAGGCCCGTTTCAGTGCATGGTGCCCAGATGCCCTTGTTTCCCCCAAGTATTTCTTTGCCTACTTAATTTCCAGATCTGTTGCGTTTCTCCATCACATTTCTTCCCATCGTGTGCAGGAAAAGAAAAGTTTGTGGGACCAAAAAAAAGTTCAATCAATTCCAATTTCTCACCCAAAAAAATCTCACGAAGTTAGAATTGATTGAATTATTTTTTTAGTCCTACAAACTTGTTTCCCTGCATACACAGCAAAAAATGACGGAGAAATGCGATGGACCTGGAAATCAGGTAGGGAAAAAAATGCTTGGAGGAAGTGATGGCATCTGGGCGGTGGTGGGTGGGCCAAGCTCCGTGGCACAGCATGATGCTGCAGTGGAGAAATGGGCAATGCAGCAGCCAACGCGAGGGAAGGAGGAAGCACGTTCCCTCTTCCTTCTCCCTGTTCCTCCTTCCTTTGTGCCAGCTGCTTCATTTCCCTTTTCTCCATTACAGCGCAGCGCCCAAGATCTACTTTGATAGTGGGTGGTGGTGGTAATTTAACAACCAATTCACCCAGGGTCAGGTTGGCCATCGTGAAAGGCACGGCTTGTCCCACATGTGCAGCAGAGCTTTACCCACATCGAAACATTCCCTGCCAAAGTTTATGTGATTAAACATATTTCAGAATTACAAAACTCTTCATTTTGTCTGAGGTCTGAAAATGCAGGACTTCCCAAATGAAAACGTTCTGTTTATCTTCATTTCCTTTTTGTCAACATAGTAAGCAAAAACATATTCATAGTTTTCAAAACAATGGACAAGCTCATTTATTTCAAACGCCTAATACATTCATCAAAAAAAGATGATTGTTTAATCAAGGTCAAGAAATAAATTTAAATTCCCTTAAGACACACATATAGACTTATTCATTGTCTTTTTCTTTATCTTCTTCCCTCCTCCTGCTCATGGATAATGTGGCCACCAAATCCCACATGAACCGCCAGGGAGGCACATATTCCAAGGCCCTTATGCAGGAGGCAGAGAAGCTACATCTGTGGGTGGAGACTCATCTCCTATCAGTGACGTGTGGTGAGGTTTATGGCTGGTGAGACACTGACACAAAATTTTTTAGACTTGTGGACTTCAACTCGCAGAATTCCACAGCCAGGCATGCTCAGTTCCGATTTAAAGCGACATCATTTGTTTTTCTCCTTTGTGAAATAAGTTTCCTTCTTATTTTTTCTTCTCCCTTCCCCTCCTTCCTCCCTTTCTCCCTCCCTCCCCCCTCTCAAACACACGCACACACACACACACACACACACACACACACAAAGTTGGATTGGAGGGAGTCAGGGAGACCACAGGAG